AAGAGTGATGTGGTTGTTTTCCCTTCGCCGTGTGCGTTCGCAGAGGCCGATGGGATCAGTGTTAATGGAGCAGATACTTTTAAACGGAACCAAACCCTACCCATGAGTGAGAAGGTAAGAATAACTTAATTGAAATTTGATTTATATTATTCGCATTATTTCAAGGAGTATTCGTTGAAGTTGACATTTTTAAACATGCTATTTGAATAGGAAATGATTTATTTGGTGCAGTAGCAGTCCTACTTGATGTAGCGCCCTATAGGCGAGCGTCACCGCGGCAAAGTGAAATTGGCTGGCAAGTCGGCGCCCCCTCAGAAAGTGGCGCCAAGCCTATGTCGCCCAAAGGATTGATTGGTCCTGGGCTGGTGGGTCATGCTTTAATAATACAGATACAAATCGCTCTTTATTGAAGGAACCGAGATTTTAATTATTATAATTATTGATGTTTGTTGTTATGATAAGGAACTGTCGACACAGTAGAGGTTCAAAGTTTGAGTTCAACCTTTACGGAACTTTAATTAGACTAGGACTACTTTTTCCCTAAATAGAATTCTGTGCTTGTTTTTTGTTTAAAGTAATTTGTCCTCAGTTTTTAGTTTGCACGTTGAAATAATATAAAATAGTAGGTAATCCCCTAATTTTAAGAAACCAAATAAACTAAGAAGTATATTCTCTGATGTGTGTACTCAAAATCTTTGTACAAACCAGTCGGGTAATTCCTCCATAATTCCTCCATAATAACTCGCCATTTCAATTTTCAATTTTTCAAACTCTGAAAAATGATGGTTTCTTCAGCGTTGATTGTCTTATATGTGCTCGCGATGAATGCGATCTTTATCTAAATAGTAAAAATACTAAAGTACTACATTTAATAACTTCACCTATGAATCCATTCTTTCATGACGGTCGTTTTAGTTTTGGCAATTCATTTCAGATTTTGTACTCAGTTTATAAGCAGCATCTTCAAACGTTCTGCTGTTTTTTTTTTATAAATGGAACTTTTTAATCTTATGCATTTGTATAGATGGACTGGATGGAGGCAGATTTCTTCAATAACTGATTGAGCTTGTATGTGGCTTTGCAACATATTAGCCCCAAGTTTCCTCCTTCCTATAGGTCTAACTACTTCTATTTTTAATCATATCAACATTCTTTCAACTTAAGTATCTTATAAGATAATGTATAAATTCCAATCAGCATATTTAAATAAGCGGATAGCTTAATAATTTCGAACAGACTTTACTAAAATACTCAAAAAAAAAAAACAAAGATTTGGCGTTTAACTCGCTTAATTAAAGCGCTAATACTGAAGGCAAGCCTTTGGTTAATTTAACTGAGTAATATTTTCGTTAGCTGTATGTTTGTATCATGCTATAGTCATATTCCTCACTTGAACGTCACTTTGAACATAATAAATATTAATGTAAATCGCCTAACAGTGTTAAAGCAGTAGCAAGACTTGGCAACTAATGTGTGTTATGTGGTATTGTGTTACTTTCGATGGCGAAGCTACATCAAATTTAACATCCACATGGTGTCACTATAACCTAAGAAAAAAAAAAGTATTCAGCTTTCAGGCTCCTCCTTATTTAAGGAAGGAATGGATCGTTTTAACAAAGGTCCGCCTAAGAAAGAGGACGAGCTGAAAGTCGGATCATAGGCCTGTTAACATCATTTCGTGTTTTATATTTACGGTACTACGTACAGTATTTTTGAAGTAGACTCTTTGATTTGAAATGTAGATGTTTTCTGCAGCAGGACCACGATGCCAAGCCAAATACGTAAACGGTGGACGCGCTTTCTGCTGATGATTTTCTTCACGGATGTTTCCTGTGGACAAATTGTTTATTCTGTGAATGAAGAATCGGATCGAGGGACCGCCGTCGGAAATCTGGCTAAAGATTTTAATATCCCTGGACATGAACTGGAATCGCGAAGGTTTCATATTGCAGCCGGCACCAATGAAAGGTATTTTGGTGTGGATATAAAAACTGGGATGCTGTACGTGAAAGAGAGAATAGACAGGGAAGCGCATTGTGGATGGAATGTGAAGTGTTTGTTGCATCTTGAAGCGATGGCTAATTCACCCCTTATTCTATACAGTTTTGACGTTAATATTTTAGATATTAATGACAATGCCCCGACTTTCCGTATGGCAAATAGTCACCTAAATATTTCAGAGTTAGCGTTTCCGGGGGAGAGATTCACTTTGCCGACAGCAAGTGACGCAGATGTGGGAAATAATGGCGTAAAAAGCTACAAACTGAGTGCAAATGAGCACTTCAGTCTGGATGTTCAGAGTGGAGGAGAACAGAGTACATTTGCGGAACTGGTTCTACAGAAAGCTTTAGACAGAGAGAAACAGCCTGTGATCCATCTCGTATTAACAGCTTTTGACGGAGGAAAACCTGCGAGGTCCGGAACATTGCAGATAATTATCAATGTGATTGACGTGAACGATAACATCCCTGTTTTTAATAAAACACTGTATAAGGCCCGTATTTCAGAGGACGCACCATTCGGATCTTCCGTTATTACAGTTGCTGCTACGGACCTGGATGAGGGCCAAAATGGTGAAATAATTTACTCATTCGTAAACCACGACAATGATAATAATGTCGATATGTTTGCTATTGATCCAGGGAACGGTGATATTACGGTAAAAGGGGTCTTGGATTACGAAACAAAGAGTGCGATTGAGATTCGCGTTCAAGCAAAAGATAAAGGACACA